TGGTGTCCAGGATCACCACCACCACCACCACCGCCATGTCCCGGCGGGCAGTTGCTCTCGTGCCACCCGTACGTGCCGGGCAGGAGCAGGACGACGGCGACGCCAACAAGCAGTAGCGAACACACTCTGGCAAGGCTGGCCATGGCGCCGGGGCGTCCGGACAGTGCGCGATCCCAATGCCAATGCGGTGCCATGAGACGCACCCGTCGACTCAATTTATAGAGGGGACATGCCAGACGCCCGCGCCATGCCGCGCGCCAGGTGTTCGACGGGAGCCCACCTGGCGACCGATGGCGCAAGAGGCCACGGGCGGCGCGGGGCTCACGGTCACGGGCGCGCACTGCACGCATACAGAGGCGTCGCTTCTCTAGTTGTACTCCATGCGCCCGATGCGCGCATGCCGCCATGGCACGGGGCCGCGAGTGCGCGACGCGCCAGCTGAGAGAGGGAAGGAGCATGAGAGTGGAATGTGAGGCTGACTGAGGATTTGTCCTTTGAGACGCGACTCGCGCGCCCGTGAACTGTCAGGGTTTTGGCGCCTTCGCTGACTCTACTCTATGGCTGGACTCTTCGCTTGGGATTCCCTATAGACCAACAGCCAACCAGTACCTTTTCTTCTTAAAATTCTCTCACATTTCTAAGCTTACAGTAGATTGCCGATTAAAAAACATACCGTAGATCAAGATCAAAGTCCAGCCATTTTTCAAGGGGAAAGGGATCCATATCAGTTGTAAAAGTTCATCAGCAATATAAAACACATCAAGCATAATAAAAATTAATTTAAGGTCTCTAGACCACGGAACAAAATCTACCGTTGCCGTTGCGTCCTTGTCACCGCTTTTCTGTCGGAGCTGGCTTGACATTGTCGATGACTGCGGAAGTCTTCATGCACACACACTAAGGACCGCCGCCCTATAGTTGTAGTCGTTGCTGGAGCACCTGACACCAAATCTCGACATCACGCGCATGCAACAAGACACCCTAACTTCCCCGTCCCAAGGAGACGACAAAAATCTACGTCGGAGCTCTGTCGACTAATTAGAGACCGAAAAACAAACTTGAAGAATAAGCGCGGCCATATGCTAGAGGGTCATGTCAACGAAGGGATTAATATTTATAAATATTTACATTTTTTTCTTCTAATGTGCATTTGTCAGTTGATGCCCCTTTCACTTGAAATATTCTCTCGTTATGCATGGCAACCTTGTCCCATGATTGCCGCACCCACTCTATGTCCTTTTTCTATCACATTACACTATATCGGACACACAATGAGTTCTCTCTTTCACTGACTAGTGCATGGATTTTATTTCGGTAATGTAATCTAGCAAACGTCAGCCGGGAAGGGGTAGCAAGCGAATGCATTTTCTTGACAGTCTTAGTTGCGTCGGGGAATCAAATGGTGACTCTTTTGCCGAAGAAACGGTCAACCCCATACAATTAGGGGAGCCGCTACGCGTCTGTCGATAGATGTCTAGTAAACATTCACCGCCCCGACAGCTGTCAGATCTCCGCGTGCGAGCCGTTCGATCTAACTCCTCGCACGCGTGCGTCGTCTTCCCGACACATTAATTCCTGAAACAACAACCCAGTTACAGAAACAAACAATCGCGTTGCAGAAACAATTCCTGAAACAGCGGCCACGTTGCAAAAACAATTCCTGAAACAACAACTGCGTTGCAGAAACAACTACCATGTTGCAAAAATTTGGAGATTGCAGAAACAATTCCTGAGACAACGGCTGCGTTGCGGAAACAACTACCATGTTGCATGCGTCAAGCATGTCGGCGCCGACTGCAGCAGAGCAGTAGCGCCGCAACTCCAGCTATTGCAGAAGCACGACGATGAGTCGTTCCTCGCCTGAAAAGCAACTTGAAATGAGGGAGCAGAGGAGAAAAAGAGCTGGAAGGGTAAGACGGAGGAAGCCTACCTCGCCGGCGAACACCGGCTGCCGGCGCACGCGGCGGTGGCCGGCTGGCTCGTGCGAGCAACGGAGTTGTAGAAGCTTGAGGTGGTGCCCGCCATGGCATGCTGCAAGAGTTGGAAAAAAGAGCCGACTGAGAAGGAGATAAGGAAAGAAGGATGTAGCGGTGCAATGGGTCCACATGGACACGCGTCACGTGCTGGAGGCGGTGGACGCCTAGCATTGGATCCGTCGGGTGATGGTAAGAGTTTCTTAAACTACCATTCTAAACGTTCGCAAATCTCAATCTCTCCCGGTGAACATTCGCCAGCTAAGAGGGTCCTTTTATTTTCAGTCTTAAACTTGTAACAACCATATCTGTTAAATAAATCTCAAATAGATATTTCGTTTGAACCCGGCTCTTTCTTTCAATGGTATCGTCAAAACTGAAGGAAAAATGCCCTAAAGGCAATAATAAAGTTGTTTTTTATATTTTCTTATATCATGATAAATATTTATTATTCATGCTAGAATTGTATTAACCGGAAACTTAGTACATATGTGAATCCATAGACAAACAGAGTGTCCCTAGTATGCCTCTACTTGACTAGCTCGTTAATCAAAGATGGCTAAGTTTCTTAGCCATAGACATGTGTTGTCATTTGATGAACGTGATCACATCGTTAGAGAATGATGTGATGGACAAGACCCATCCGTTAGCTTAGCACTATAATCGTTTAGTTTATTGCTATTGCTTTCTTCATGACTTATACATGTTCCTATGACTATGAGATTATGCAACTCCCGAATATCGGAGGAACATTTAGTGTGCTATCAAACGTCACAACATAACTGGGTGATTATAAAAATGCTCTACAGGTGTCTCCGATGGTGTTTGTTGAGTTGGCATAGATCGAGATTAGGATTTTTCACTCCGATTGTCGAAGAGGTATCTCTGGACCCTCTTGTTAATGCACATTACTATAAGCCTTGCAAGCAATGTGACTTATGAGTTAGTTGCGGGATGATGCATTACAGAACGAGTAAAGAGACTTGGCGGTAACGAGATTGAACTAGGTATGATGATACCGACGATCGAATCTCGGGCAAGTAACATACCAATGACAAAGGGAACAACGTATATTGTCGTGCGGTTTGACCGATAAAGATCTTCGTAGAATATGTAGGAGTCAATATGAGCATACAGGTTCCACTATTGGTTATTGACGGGAGATGTGTCTCGGTCATGTCTACATAGTTCTTGAACCCATAGGGTCCGCACGCTTAACGTTCGATGACGATTTGTATTATGAGTTATGTGATTTGATGACCGAAATTTGCTCGGAGTCCCGGATGAGATCACGGACATGACGAGCAGTCTTGAAATGGTCGAGACATAAAGATCGATATATTGGAAGGCTATATTCGGACATCCGAAAGATTCTGAGTGGTCCGGGTATTTTTTGGAGTACCGGAGAGTTACGAAAATTCGCCGGGGGAAGTATTGGGCCTTCATGGGCCTTAGTGGAAAGGAGAGAAGGGCCACAAGGGGAGGCCGCACGCCCCCCCCCCCCCCATGGGCTGGTCCGGATTGGATTAGGGAGGGGGTGGCGCCCCCCTCTTTCCTTCTCCCTCTCCTCTCCTTCCTTCTACTAGGAAAGGGGAAACCTACTCCTATTAGGAGTAGGAATCCCCCCTTTGGGCGCGCCTCTTGTGGCCAGCCCTCCTCCTCCTCCTCCCCTCCTTTATATACGGGGGAGGGGGCACCCCATAGACACACAAGTTGATCTTTAGCCGTGTGCGGTGCCCCCTCTACAGTTTTTCACCTTGGTCATATTGTCGTAGTGCTTAGGCGAAGCCCTGCAACAGTAACTTCATCATCACCGTCAACACGCCGTCATGCTGACGCAACTCACCCTCGACCTCAACTGGATCAAGAGTACAAGGGACATCGCCAAGCTGAACGTGTGCAGATAGCGGAGGTGCCGTGCGTTCGGTACTTGATCGGTTGGATCGTGAAGACGTTCGACTACATCAACCGCGTTACTTAACGCTTCCGCTTTCGGTCTACGAGGGTTTGTAGACACACTCTCCCCTCTCGTTGCTATGCATCTCCTAGATAGATCTTGCGTGATCATAGGAATTTTTTTAAAATATTGCGTTCCCCAACAAAAAGAAGCCCGACTTTTAGTATACTTTGATAATAAAATACGGTATATGACGTCTCAACCAAGATATGGTAATTAGAAATTATTGGATCTTTATGTTGGATGTTAGAAACACTGCATGTGACGTAAATACAGTATATGTTGTATACTCATCCAAAATGAAACATGGAACGGTGGATCCATATACAATAACCACATGTGGGAGAAAAAACATTATCAGTAATATATAACCCATACAAAGTGAAAACCACGGTAATATTCTACCCAAGTTAGTGCACTCTCAAATAGTGCAACTATAGTCTTGTAGTAATCAATCATAGGTGACTAAAATTTGAGGCAAATGAAAATTAGCAAAGATGATTGTATAATCAATCATGTCAGGAACATAAGTATACCCTGTTCGAATCAAACTGAATCGTGATGTGTTTTGGTGGAAATCAAACTGATTTGTGCATCATTTTCCTCCTAATTAATTCTTGTAAAGGTAAGCAAGCCATATAACATGTTGGTGTTTATGGTAGTGCGTACGCGGTTGGAGCAAGTGGTCAAGGAGATTTTTATCCGACATGGATGACAACATAATCTATAAATAGGTCCTCCACCATTGTCAACAGAGGTTTAGCTTTCGTCGTATTAGACCTTACCATTTGCCAATGTGTCTATTCTATTTTTTTAGTTTCGTATGTTGGTTTGTATTGGTTGTATGCATCTTAGTCATACAAAGACTAAATGACACTCATTTTGCATTGTATCTACTTGATGCTCCTCTATGAGTCAATAAAAGTGCCCTTTATAAAATAAAAATAGCAAGTGTCTAACTTAAAATTAATGTGGAATTTCCATGTGAAAAACAAACATCAACATGTACACCATCGAAGCAGCCATCCAGTTAGAAGAAGATGTGTCGGGGGTTGGGTGCGACATATGCCAATGGATGACTTATCATGGTGGGAGCGAGTAGAACGTCGCCGATGCCTGGAAGCGGGATGAGGCGTAGACACGAACGTCGGTGTACTTTACCCAGGTTCGGGGCTCTCCTAGGAGATAACACCCCTAGTGCTGCTCTGCGGGGTCTCCGCATGATCACTAAGGCACTAGTGAGTACAATGGTGCTCCTCGAGCTGTGTGCTAGAGGTAGAAGAAGGCAGACCCGCTCTCTCCTTCCTCTAGGTATGAGTCTAGTTCTAACAGGTTGGGAACCCTTTGCATGGGTGTCCGGGGTTTATATAGGCCTACCCCCAGGGGTAGAATCGTAATACGGCCGGGTGTAAGTCCCAGCTGTCAGGGTCTCTGGTCGTCGGCTTCTCCGCCTGCTGCTGGGGCCCGCCGCTTGGTGGGCCCCGCCGACTGGTCTGGTACGGAGGCGACAGGCCGCTCCCGCCGCTCGCGGGTCTTGCCGGCTGCTGATTACTGTAGCCGCGATGCTAATGACGCATGCTTGGTCAGGGGAGCGTGGCTACAGTCCCGCCGCCAGGTGGGAGATCACTGTAGCCACTCCGGGTATCATCTGGTTAATGGTGCACGGGCTTCGAGGAAGGAACGGGCCGCCTGCTGGGAGCCGGCCTCCTTCAAGTCCGACTGATCAGGCTTCCGCCGTCTTCTGGGCTCTCGCTGCCCAGTAGGGCTCGCCGCCTGCAGGCCGTACCGACAGGTCGTCGTGGGAACAGGGCTCTGCCCTGCCAGCAAGGACGTCAGGGACGGAGTGGCAACAGTGCCACGTACGGGCAGAGATGTCCGCCTGTACGGAGCACTGTGGCCACGCCTGGCCCTGGATATGGGGGTGATGGGCTACACTGTAGCCTCACCCTGTCTCGTCTTCTTAATGGGAGCGCAGACTCTGAGGGCGCCGTGGGCCGACTGCTAGGAGCCGGCCTCTCTGGAGGCCGCCTGCAAGAAGTCGGCCCGTGTTGGAGTCGCCTTCTAGAGCTTAGCCGCCTTCTGGCAGCTGGCCGCTCGGGACAGCCGGCCACCAAAAGGCGACACTTCTTCTTGATGTCTTTGAGGGGCGCAGCCAGCCCCAATGTCTTGAAAGGCTCAGGGACTCAGGTTAGGCTACCCGTGGCCCATTACTCCGACAAGATGCATGCATCTCCTGATTTGCAGCCTTTCCACTACTCGCCCCCAACCTAGGATGCGTTTGGTTTGAGAGATGGGCTAGGGTGATCGTGAGTATTCCCAACCAATTGGCTAGGGATATCTATTTTGTGTTACGTGAGTGGGTGAGGATAACCCATGTTTTGTTTGGTTCAAAGGATGAAACATTATTGAAATATCCTTCTCATCTGGGCTATGAGGAGATGAATATTTGAAGCCTTTCAGGCAACCCAAAGAGGCGCAAAAGCCCAATACCCATTAGGGTTATGACCTAGGGTCATTTTGGACTTTGTACATGAGAGGATGGGATGCTTTATCCTCCATCCAACAGCCACCACTAAGCGTGACAAAAATCTGTTCATCCTCAAGGGAGAAGAAGAGAGAAAACCAAGTGAGAAAGGTGAAGAGAGAAAGACTGAAGGAAGAAGCAAAAGGAGCTCCTCCCCAAGGTTGTGATGGTCCAGATCAGCTACCTTGTCTCCTTCAAGTTGTGGTTCCACTATCTTTGGTGAGATTGTTTCAATTCGTAGCTCTTGAGCCTAAATCTTGTTGTGTTCATCCAAGATACAAATTGTGATGTATGAGATCCTCTAGTGCTATCTAGAGAAGAACTTATTCTACCAACTTATTATATCCCACATTTGATAATAGTGGAAGAGGATTTGGGTAGCTTCGGCCCATGATTTTCCCCCTCAAGTTGGTAGGTTTTCCACGTAAAAATCTGGTGTTTCTTTGTTGATACTTGCTGCTGTGCAGAAAGTTACTCCTGCCACAAGACACTCGCCTGAGGAGCGTCTTGTGTGATGAGTAACTTATTTTACCTCCATATATGCTGCTGCATATTTTTCCTTCCGTGCTAAGCAACGATTCTTGAGTTACTACATGATGTGGTCCTTAGATTACTTTATTTTCGATGCAGTTTGTCAGTTCACCACAAGTGTCATTGTGTGCAAATTCCCAACAAACATGGTTGGGGATATCCATTGGAGTGTTTTCTTTGAGCCTTTGAAGGATGAGTGATGGATAAGGACTGTGGTGACCTTTTTGATTGACATGGTGAGATTACCTCCATAATTTGGTATTGTTTTTCAATGCAAGGCAATAAAATACTTCCTCCGTTTGGAAATAACTGACGTGGTTTTAGTTCAAAATTTGAGCTAAAACCACGTCAGTTATTTCCCAACGGAGGCAATATAATGTACACCAATAATTTTAAAAAAACTATTCCAACAAGATACCAAAATAATAGTAGAAAATAAACTTGAACTTCATGACATATAACAGTTCAACACTCCATAGGTAACCCAAGTACATACAACTCATAGCTCAACATTCCATAGAGCACTAGAACATATAGTTCAATGTTTTGATGGTAATCAAAAGAGGTTATCCAACAACCCATGGTTACTGTCTTGGTTATCCAACAGTCGCGTCGCCCTCCTTGAGATCCAGCTGCAACCTCCGCAACGGTCGGCCATCACACTCGATTGCTGGAGAGGTAGAGAACGGACGCAAAGGAGAAGAGGGCATGAGTAGAGAATGAACTCACCTCTCATAGCCTCTGCTAGATGGGCCGTTGCCGCCAT